GTACCTAATGGCAGTCAGGCTACCTCTTGCGAGCACATGGAGGGCTGTGTGGCCCTCCAAAGAAATGCCACCCCACACCATTACTGACCCACTGCCAAACCGGTCATGCTGGAGGATGTTGCAGGCAGCAGAACGTTCTCCACAGCGTCTCCAGACTCCGTCACGTCTGTCACGTGCTCAGTTTGAACCTGCTTTCATCTGTGAAGAGCACAGGGCACCAGTGGCGAATTTGCCAATCTTGGTGTTCTCTAGCAAATGCCAAAAGTCCTGCACGGTGTTGGGCTGTAAGAACCTCCCCCCCCCCACCCCCACCCCCCGTGGACGTCAGGCCCTCATACCACCCTCATGGAGTCTGTTTCTGACTGTTTCAGCAGACACATGCACATTTGTGGACTGCTGGAGCTCATTTTGCAGGGCTCTGGCAGTGCTCCTCCTTGCACAAAGGCAGAGGTAGCGGTCCTCCTACTGGGTTGTTTCCCTCCCACGGCCTCCTCCACGTCACCTGATGTACTGGCTTGTCTCCTGGTAGCGCCTCCCTGCTCTTGACACTACGCTGACACACACAGCAAACCTCCTTGCCCCAGCTCGTATTGATGTGCCATCCTGGATGAGCTGCACTGCCTGAGCCACTTGTGTGGGTTGTAGACTCCGTCTCATGCTACCACTAGAATGAAAACACCGCCAGCATTCAAAAGTGACCAAAACATCAGCTAGAAAGCATCGGAACTGAGAAGTGGTCTGTGGTCACCACCTACAGAACCACTCCTTTATTGCCTATAATTTCCACTTGATGTCTATTCCATTTGCACAACAGCATGTTAAATTGATTCTCAGTGTTGCTTCCTAAGTGGACAGTTCGATTTCACAGAAATGTGGTTGACTTGGAGTTACATTGTGTTGTTTAAGTGTTCCCTTTATTTTTTTGAGCAGCGTACTTTTTGGGGTTTTAAACACAAAATATTCACTTGGCAGCATGTTTTAGGACATAGTCTTGCATTTTAAGGCATTTTGGGGACTTTTTTTTTTTATGGATATTTTCACGATGGTAAGGCTATAGTAAGGCATGTTTTGGGTGATTTTTGAAATATTCATATAAAATACTATTTGGACTTTTAAACAAAATATTCAATTGGCAGCATGTTTTAGGACAGTCTTGCATTTTAAGGCATTTCGGGGACTTTTAATTTTTATGGATATTTTCACGATGGTAAGGCTATAGTAAGGCATGTTTTGGGTGATTTTTGAAATATTCATATAAAATACTATTTGGACTTTTAAACAAAATATTCAATTGGCAGCATGTTTTAGGACAGTCTTGCATTTTAAGGCATTTCGGGGACTTTTAATTTTTATGGATATTTTCACGATGGTAAGGCTATAGTAAGGCATGTTTTGGGTGATTTTTGAAATATTCATATAAAATACTATTTGGACTTTTAAACAAAATATTCAATTGGCAGCATGTTTTAGGACAGTCTTGCATTTTAAGGCATTTCGGGGACTTTTAATTTTTATGGATATTTTCACGATGGTAAGGCTATAGTAAGGCATGTTTTGGGTGATTTTTGAAATATTCATATAAAATACTTTTTGGACATTTAAACACAAAATAATCTTTTTTTAATTCCTTTGACCTTCAGGTCTATTGGTTTATAGATACAGTAAGTCTAAATATATGAATAATAAACATAAATATACATGAGAAGGGCAAACCTACCTTTTTAACAATGCTTTTCACCTTAGTTGTCCTGTACACGTGTCATGCTTGACCAGGTCCAGTCAACATCTGCCAGAGGACGAGGGGGAAGGAGACACACAATCCATCTGATCACCTCAGGTCCCTTTATCTAGGTTCCAACAGAAAAAAATTGCTGTTGTAAATAGTTATCATTATTCCAAAACAACTAAGTTGTAATTTGAGGCTAATTTCATGCAGCAGACAAACATTTGTGATTTATCCATCTATCCTTAAAAATGCCTGTCAGAAAACCTATTCCACTTGATCCAAACCAAGGAGAGTAATACTGATACATTCTACTGCGAAATATCTTACATAATAAAGATAGTGTATTAGTACATGAGGTACTGCATACCCCAAACCAAACAAACTGTACATTGAAATATAAAATAATAAATTAACTTATTTGATTTATTCTGAGATAGACTTAAGTGTCTCGTCTTTGCGGTGGGAAACGGCTGTAGAAATGCGGATAACAAGATCAATAACAAAGACTACTATAAAAATCCATGTGCAAATGCAATTGTTATTCATAGAGCACCGAGAATTTGGACCTTGACCAGAGTGACTGTAGTGCCTTGTTGGGCTCTAGCTAAAGAGGACGCTATCTTTTACGGCTGTAGCCCAATCACTTCAGCGTCCTCCAGGTGGTTCTGAGACTGCGGTTTTGGAAAATCCCAAGATTGCGTTGCGCACTCCTACTATCATCTTTTCCACTACTATCACAAATTGCAGGATATTTTGCGACTTTTCCATGAATCAAAGTCGCAAAATATCCTGCAACTTGTTTGTGTTTGTAG